TAGCCATTGGACGTGGTGTTAGGTGTGTTGTGGTTTTGTGGGAATATACCGTTTCATGTACACATCCAGGAAGGTATAACAGTCTGAAGAAGAGCTTACATTGTCTCTTTTCTCCATATTGATGTACGTATGCATTCAGTTGGTTGAGTTTGGATCCTGTAATGTAGTTCATAAGGCGAGGAGCGAGGAGAGGTATTTGCATGTGTTAGCATGTCAGGTTGTCGAGTATTGTGGTATCATAGATTATCTTTCGGATTTTGGTTTGATTAGATTTATTTTCGAATGTGTAAAAACAACAATACAAGAAGAATAATATATTTATAAAGAAATGAAACATGAGAGTTATAACATATACAAACTTAAGCAGTGTCAAATCGATGTAAACAACAAAATATTGCTGATTCTAAAACTTATATAATTGTGAAAAGGAATCTAACTTCGATACAATAAAAATTTGTTAACACCTAGGCCGTGCTCCGATACCGTAACTCCGGTGCTGATAAAGGCTTCCCGGTGAACGCCCGTACAATATATTTTTTGTTTTTTAGGACTTAAAAATCTACAGGCAAGATTCAACGTAATCTGACATACGCGCGCGCGATTTACGCAACGTGCGGCCTCTAACCGGACGCTGCCCGGGTCGTAATCCCTATTTTAGGAACTCCGCGGCTCAGGCATCTGTCCGACCGCTTAGGGATAGCAAAGCGGTGTGTATGGTGTAGTGTTGTTGGGTTGGTGTGCTGCGTAGAACACCAGAGCAGTAATCAAAACTGCCCCTGGAGGAGAATCCCTCTGGTTAATGGGAGACTCCCCTGATAATTAGGGCAGCCTTCAGGAACCCACAGTCCCAACCCCTACCCCTATCTTGAGTCCCCAAATATATCAATCAAAACAAAGGCACAACTGAATCATCAAACACGCCACAGTCCCAATATCACAGCAGTGACACCACCAGCCAGAGTCAAAACATTCATATCTCAGCAAAGCAGTGATATTACCACATCAGCAGAGCATATGTCATATTCTCCCTTTAAACAATTTAAATCCAAATAGTCAACCTAATGTCAGCCTTTCCAAGGAAGGGGTGTTCTTACCTCACTCTAAGACCAAGCAGCCATACCTTCAGATAACCACGAGAGAGAGACCAGGTTTGGGCGTCGAAGCGTGCACCGTACAGAACCGGATTTGTTAAGGTTTAACAAAAATTGAGGATTAAAAAAGAATCCTAAAATAATAAACACCATTTCAAAATACAATAGCAACAGGTTCACAAGTCCAAGTCCTCAAGCTGCCTTAATAGAGCCCCAAGCCCAGGACCAGGCCCAGGGCTTGGGCCTCAAGAAAAACTTCCTCCAAAAGAAGCCTCCAAGCTCTCAAGACCTCCAAGCTTCCACCTCTCCTTTCTTCTTCTCCATTCTTCTTCTTCCTCCTCCCTCGTCTCATCCAGGTCCATCCCCTTTCTCCTCTTTGAGTCAGAAGGAGGTCACAACTGTTCAACCTTTTAATTATTGAACATTTAAAAATTGGTTAAGGTTAAAATTAAACAAATACAAAACTTATAGTAATGATATTGTAATTTTAAAGAGGGAATATGAAACATGTTTCATGAAAAGCAGAAACACATTGTCAATGTCAATGACTTTAGAATCAATTTTATTTTCTTTAAACATTTCAATTTCAAATATCGAAACTTTAAACTTTAATGTTATTAACAGAGAACTTCAATTTATTAACAGAGACAAATATGGGCAGCTTGTCTCTCCGATTCTCTGGCCCAGGAGTTGATTTGATCTGTGCGTAGGCCCCGCCTGCATCCTGTGCCTCAATTGTCTTCATACCCGCTGTAGCGCTCTCAAGGTGTCAAAAACCCACAAGCGCCTTTTATAGAATGATAGCTGGACTTTTTATGCTTTTATTGCACCATCTAGAATATGTGTGTGTATCGGTCAAAAGTTCAGAAATGTCTATCTAGTTTCACATCCTCGTTCATATGTCCTGAAAATCAAAAAGAAGGAAACATACAATCTTATCCATTCCACAAGACAATTAGCATATATGTATCAATGGGTGAGCTTAAAGGGGTAGGTGAGGCAAAGTCAGGTCTGACAGCCGGCCCACTTACAGAGTAAAGAAAAGAAACTGTCAACAATATAAACATATGATCCTAATTTAATTACACATCTGAAAAGGGGTGGGAATATCGTTTAGACTTATTTAATCCCACCACTTCTCCAAAAACTAAATTATTAACATATATATATTTTTTTTCTTAAAAAAATCACATGTGTTATTGAAAAAACAAACAAACAAAACAAAAAACATTAAAAACAGATAAATAAATAAACAAACAAATACATACAGCAGGTAAATGGTAAACAAGCAAAATATCTTGATTTGTCTCCCCAACCTGTCACACCTTAAGGGAGCTGTCCAACACAGCAGCACGACAAGACGTAAAAATCAGGAAGACAGTCAGCCCAAATATATGGGCGGAATGGGGGGGGAGGGGGGGTGAGACTGCAGGTTGGTGGTCCGGTTGGCAGACAGCCGCGCGGGGGATGTAAGTGGACGGAAAGAAAGCGCCCGTCAAGCATGTCAGACACATTGACTACAAAGGCAGTTGGGCGGACTGTCAGGGGGAGAGAGATGGAGGAGACAGACTGATAGAGAATTATTTTGACTTGCCTCTCATCCCATGGGAGAGAGAGAGAGAGAGAGAATGACTTGGCAGGTTGCATTATACACTGCGCCTGATCATGTTCAGCAGATTGGGGTATGAAAGTTTCGGTCGGCTTAGAAGAGGGATGGGTTGTTGTAAACCCAAAACCATTTTCCATCCCTAGAAAACAGGGGGGGCGAACCAACCAAACCTTGAGTGATTTAAGGATCAAGTAGTTTGGCCTCAAAATAATTGAAGTTATATTTTCTAAAGCCAAAATGGTTGACAGCTACCCAGCGAATGAAGTTATCATCAGTTGTGTTCAATCGATACAACAATTTGATTTCACAATAATAATTCTGTGTTTCAATCATAGTGTGTTCAATCCAAAATTAAATATCTAGTACTTTGAAGGAAGGTCAACGGTTGGCAGCTACCTTCCTCCGCTTCCTGTAATAAGCCAATCAGATGCTTTTCGAACAGACATTTCTTATCTCTTGATGTATTTGTTGGACTCACAGTTTGTTACAACTTGTCTGGCTTCTGATGATTAGGTTGATGTTACGGAGACTCGTGGTTAACCAAAATTACAATAAGATTCTTTCCACAAACTTCTCACAAAGAAAATAGGCCCTGAACAATAGTCAAACAGATTTCCAAGAAGACTCAAAATACGATGATAAAGAAACTTAGATTGTCTTTCTTTTTATTATTCTGTAACTACTTTAATTTAACGGTTCAGAAATGTGTTTCCTGATTGTCTTAAAGGCTGGCGTCTTGGGAATTGTAGTCTTTTATAGTCCCTTAAAATACAAAAAGGCATGACAAAAATGTATATTTATTTTTTACTTTATTACAACATCTCAGCTTGGTTTTGATCATTTATGAATAATTGGCAAGAATTCAAACTATTTGGACAAAGCCACTGTCACGGAGAAAGATGACAGTCAATGGGAAGTATGCTAATATTTCCCCTAACCTCAATCCAAATCGGTTTGTCTCTGTCTCTAACATAGAGCTTTCAAATGATCACCTAGATGTACCACATACTGTTATATTGGGTGAATGACTGACATCCCTCTGCTGGATGTGCATCTCCTGTCTCTTTTCATTTAAGGTTGTGGCTTTGGTTAAAAAGCGCTGACAGCCATGTAACACTGTGCTGCTTTGCTGGCTGTGATGAAAGAGTTGTCATTGAGGTCCTTTAATCACACAGGGGTCACCCAAAGGGTCAGTGATGACGCAGTTGACTTCAATGGGTGTTACAATATCCAACGTTTTGGTTCTTCTTCTACATTTCCTTTTTTTCCCATATATCCAGATCTGCAATCAGTAGCAAGGGGTTAATATTGTGGGCATGGTAATAACAGACGAGTGTTGATGTTAGTAGAAGGTGTAAGCTCATCCGCCTCCTCCCTCGGGGGTTTTCTGGCAGTGTAACAACACTTCAGAGAGGGAATTAACCCCTTGACACATGAACAGCTTGTCGTGAAAACATATAGGCCGTTGTATGACTACCAACGTTTTTGTTCTGGTTAAAAGATGTTCTTTTATTTATTGTTTTCACAAGTGTTAAATAATATGCTGCAAAGCCCTTTGACAGTTGTTCAGCTATGCCAATACACACCTTATGAAATGATATTTTTTACATCACACCAACTGTTTTTTTGCCGTCCACTTTAAAGCGAGAACATTCGGTTTGGCGTGACACTTGTCGATGTTAAAGATCAATGTTGAGCTTTCACCGTGTGACTCTAATTGGTGATGCTGTCAGCTCTGATCTGTAATCATAGCAAAACTACTGCTTCAAAGTGATGAACTCTGTCCATCCAGATCCAATAAGCTGGGTGACGGGGTTGCAGTGGCCTTATGTCAGTTTGTCTGACACCATCTGAAAAGTATGAGCAGTCAATGACAGCTTTTCATAAAGAAGAATGGCAGTTTTACAGACCACCAGCTCCTCACAAACGCTCTTCACTCACCTCCCAGCCACTGCTCGTGTATGTGCGTATCTGCAGTGTGCTTGTGTGTATGGGCTTCCTTCTCATGTCTAATTTAGATTCTGATTCACATGCAAAGCCAATCATTTACATTGTGACACACAAACACACCTTTTTTATGAAGGTGCCTCAAAGTATTTGCTAATATGACGGGTTGTGCTTTTTTCTTTGGTTTTCGTTCCGTCATTAAAGCCCTAATATGTTTTTGAGGGAAGTTACAAAAGGCTAAAGTCCCTGTGTTCCCTCCAGAGGGAGTTTCTCACCCCACTTTTATTATTGAATGTATACCTGTCTTGTTGTATTCGAGCTAGTTGTTATTCTGTGATTATCTTTAATTCAACTGTATTTAAATGCTCTTTTATAACGTGTTAATGCACTTTGTCCTGATGCTTTCAATGTTTGATTTAAAGCACTTGAATATCCTTGTTGAAATGTGCTATATAAATAGACTCGCCTTGCCTATACCACAATGTGTAGAGCAGTATCACATTTAGAGCTACGATGCAACTATATGCAACAATTGGGATAATCCATCCAAACAGGCATTCATTTAGGACGACATCAATTACAGAGCCTCCTCAGATCCCCTCAATCATGCAGCTTTATTTNGCTAAACAACGAACCATTGCGGTAATCGGTTAGTGGTTGGTTCCATTGCGGGGGGGGTGGAATAGTGGACTAGCAGGAGGCTCTCGTGGTAACACAAGAAAAATTGGGTTTATAGAGAGTTCTCCCCGCCCTCCCCGAGGAATAAAGGGTTAGATTTCATTCGTCTGTCTCTTAGTCGTCGAAAAATAAAGTGGCCAAAATCTGACCAGCTCATTTTCAGACAGGTTTTTATATAAATGGATCAGGACAAAAAGAGAGAGAATAATTTTTCCTCAAACTTTCCGAATCTCTTTACACAGAGGGGACACATGTTGATGTAGAAGACATGAAAAAGTGGGTTTTGCATAATAGGTGACCTTTAACTTTGGTGTGAGACATTATTTGTGCATGCTGTGTGAGAACACAGTGTAATCTCTGCAGCTGTCTCTCCTCCAAACCGCCTCCTCCCCTCTGAAGCTGGAAGCTGTTTTCAGGACTGTCAGCGAGCCACAGTCCTTTGTCAGATGAGGATGATGACGTGGCACTTCTGTCAGTGGAGATGGAGCCAGGTGAGATTATTATCTTTGAGCACTGAGAAAACCATGGGGGGATGGGAAAGGGAATGAGTGGTTGTAAAACACTTCTGTCAAAGCACCTCAAAGTCTTCTGGCTTTGTCTCGGCCAGGCTCCTGTGACACAGACGGCGATGCATCCATTCTGTCCCTGTCGGTGGAGACACCTCCGTTTGCTCCGGGGCAGCAGCATGTGGGCGTGGTGAGCACTAACCTCCGATGGGCCCTGAAGCACTTAGCGGCAGAGCCAGCTGTGGAGCGACGGAAAGCCGTTCTAGGTGAGGTTTGATATCCTGTTTGTTTTCCATGGCCTCGCTCCAAAAAATATCAATGGAGACCAATCAGGACTGCTGAAAGTCTACACACACTGAACACTTGGGTTGCAGACTAGGCACCTAGGCACGTAAATAACAAAATGGAAACAAATCTAAGTGGTAGTACTTGAAGGAGTTAGTTCAATTGAGAATCATTACGGACATGGCTTATTTAAAGCTAATGTACCTGCAGGATTCTGGCTGTTCTGAGTGTGTGTCTTTATCACACTTATTGTAAGAGGCTTTGGATACAAGCATCAGCTAAAGGAAATGTAAAGTGATGTGAATTATTTATGTTTTTGTGTATCACTTTATAAGTCATAAAATACTTTCAGCAGACGTAAAAATGATCTTTTTTTTCTGCATGTTTTATTTGATAAAATGCTCCATAAACAAGACTGTAATCGATATGTTAACACAGCCCTTTGTAAACACCTTCAGAACACAGATATAAGTGATACTGAAGTGGAGGTTTCTGCTGAGAAAGGATTATAAAAACTCAGGACTCACTTTTTTGACAAGGCAATATATTCTAAAGAAAGCTAGAAAATATCAGGGAGTTGTATTTGTTCCGTTTTCTCAGGTATCGTCAGCCCAGAGAGTTACCTCAGCTCATCAAGTCAATATGTTCATAGTTATTGTATAAAAAGCATCAAAGCAATGTAGCACAAACAATTGATAAAACACAGAATAAATAAGTGCTAAAAGATACATAGAACTTCAAGACTTTCCTTTTCACATTAAAATGAACACAAACAGACATCCAGCCCTTCCTTGTCCAGCCTGAGGCGCTGGAGTCTGCCAGAGGAAGAGCAAACACCTCTCCCCCAGCATTCATCCTCCCTCTTTTACGGAGTGACTGTAATTGATCGTTGCTCCTGATCGGTCTCACAGCTGCTCTATCTGCACCATCAGACCCTCCCCTCTGCTATCATCTGTCTGTGTCCTCCTGTCGCCCAGGTGTCTTCCTCCTGGTTCTGCTCTTATCTGCCGGCTGCTGCTGTTTCCTGAGGCCGGCCACTCACGCCCCCCTCCTCTTCCGCCGGGACACAAACCTCCAGACTCTGCTGGCTCTCAGGAGCAACCTCAGCGGGCAGGGCATCTCCTGCCCCATGTGCTCAGGTGAGACTGTCCTGCTCCTCAGGTAAAGGGATATCTCACCCATAAAGTGACCATTTGTACATCAATGACTCACCTTCTGTTCAATTCAATCTTACAAGAAGGCTTGGTTTGTCTGACGTGCTTCCACAGTCGACAAAGAATACGATACATTTGACTCGTTTTGGTAGATTTAAGTAAATGAGTGCCGTGTCTAACGACAGCAGAACCATAGCAAAATATCCTAAATATATATTCTCACACAACGCGTGCAGTATAATCCAAGTCTCATTTATCCAGATGTGTGCCCACTACTGCCAAAACACGTGCCTTTTGTCTGAAACTTTAATATTTGAAACACTTTCAAATCTCAACAATCTCCCATTAGCATGATTTTTTTATTGCACTAACTTACCTTCTTATTTCTTTTTAGGTCTTAAGTACTGTTCATGGTATGTTCCACTGATGGTGGAGCTTGGGACATTGTCATTGCCACAACTATGCTGTAGCTATATGACAATAAGGGTTTTGAAAAATTGCATGTTTTTATGAACTGTGTGAACCCATTTACTTTAATCCATCGGGACTTTTTTTTTACTCTTTGTTCACCTGCAGGCATGTTAGAAAAATAACTATTTCTTCTAGATGTCAAGATAACAGGGGCTTAGTAATTAATATACAAATGGTACTTTTGCATATCTAATAATCCTGTGTGTGCGGTGTGTCCTGCAGGTGTGTTCATGGAAAAGCCCCATCCTCTGTACACACACACTTCCT